ACACACACACACACACACACACACACACACACAACTAACGAATAAACAAATGTAAAAGAATGTAAGGAAACTCCACTGTTGCCTTGACCACATGACAGAAGGAACTGAAAATGTGAGATTTTCACCCAGACGTAGGTGGGTTACACGCCTGGTCTAAGGCGTGGAAGTTAGGGGTGGCGGATGCCCACCTCCTCTCCTGCGGCTTTGGCTGGAGTTGTTCCGCCAAAGGCTGGGAGGACTCGCTGGGTCCTGCGTGATGTCGTTCCACTAAACAGTACTCCCGCTGTCTCCCATCCCTTCCTAGTCCTCCACCTTCCCGCAAAGGCGGACCAAGGCAGGAAGAGGGACTCCGCTCTTGAGATCCTAGACCTGTGGAAGGCTATGGGTGAGTCGAAGTCCCCGTCCCCAGCGTCCCCCTCCACCCATGCACTGTGGCTTCCTGGGTGGAAGAAAGAACCTGGGGAAGCAGTGTAACTCTGTCAAGCTTTTAATTTCTCCACGGGTAAAATGAGATAGCCACTAACTTATTTGGGTGTGGTGGTCCATGCCTGTTACCTTGGGATGTGGAGGCAGCAGCACCAGGAGTTTAAGGTTACCCAAAGCTACATAGTGATTTCTAGGTTACATGATACCTCTTCTCAACACTGTCTTCCCCAAGAAAAAAATAGAACCGGCAAGATATCTCAGGGGGTAGAGGCACTTGCCGCCCAGCCTGGGCCCTCGAGTTTGGTCCCCAGGACCTACAGGAGGGAAGAAGAGAACTGACTCCTATAGCTTGTCCTCTGATCTGCTTGCCTGTGCCAAACACACACACACACACACACACACACACACACACACACACACACACACACACACTCACCACACATATACACACACATATACACACACATACATACACACATAAACACACACTCACCACACACACACACACACACATGCACACACAGACATACATACATACACACAAACTCACCACACACACACTCATCACACATACACTTACCCCCATACACACATACACACACACACACACAAACACCACACACACATGCACACTCACTACACATACACACTCACCACACACACATGCACACACAGACATACATACATACATACACACAAACTCACCACACAGATACCACACGTACACACACACTCATCACACATACACTTACCCCCATACACACATATACACACACACACATACACTCACCACACACATATACACACACAATGAATAAATAAGTATTTAATAATTATAAATAATTATCATTAACTATGCTAGGCCTGGGAAGACCGCTCAGTCAATAAGGCGCTTGCTGAGGAAGCATGAAGTCCCAAGTTCAGAACCTGCATAGGAAAGCTGGGCAGGGCGGTATGAGTCTGTAATCCCAGTGCTGGGGAGATGGAGACAGGCGGTCCCTGAGCTTGCTGGCCAGTCGCTGCAGCCAAATTGGGGAGCTCCAGGTTCAGAGTGCAATCCTGTCTCTAAAGACAAGGCAGAGAATGACGAGGGAAAAGCCTGCTGTAGACCTTTGGTTTCCCCCATGAGCATGCGCAGCAGCACATTCTCACTTCCAAACCCCTAAACAACCCGGCACACGGTGGGACTACAGTTCTCTGGAAAGAGTCTTGGAAGCTGACTGGGAGGGGTCGGTGTGTGCTTCTCTCCCTGTGAACGCAGCACAGGACTTGAGCTGAGCTGCCTCCTCATTGTCACCTGCAAGGGGCAGTGCTGAACAGATACGCCTTGCCTTCCAACCTTGCTTTTATTGAGGTTTGGAGCTGGAGCCTTCTTGACTGGTGGCAGAGTCAATCCCCGGTGGACATTGCACCATATCTGGCTTCTATGCATCTGATGCTGAGAGCATTTTCTTTCCTCTCAGTCATGGCAGTCCAACACTTCTCCAGACATGCCTAAATGTCTCACAAGGACAAAGATTGAGAGCCACCAGGTACTCAAAGATTCCAAGGAGATAAAGAGAAACCACATATTGAGTTCCATGGAACCTGTGCATCTATTTGTCTGTTTAATCTGCTTATTTATTTACTGTGCATGTGTGTGCAGATGCCACAGCTCTGTGCAGAAGTCAGGAAACAATGGATGGGAGACTCAGTTCTCTCCTCCTACCATATAGCTCTCAGGAAAGAAACTCAGCAAGCGCCTTCATTCTTCGAACGGTCTTGCCGGCCCTTCTTTGGCATTTTAGTTGGTCATGATGTCTTGTCCCTTTTTCTAGATGGACTCCCTTATTCCCGCTCTCCATGGATGACCAAGAGGGCGCTGGTAGAAACATTTGTCAAACCCAGGATTGGAGGTAAAGATGGGGAATGTAGCAGAGAGAAGAGAGAAGAGGGGGAGTGAGAGGTTGAGCTGAGTGGCAGGAAGCTTGGGGGAGAAGTTGCAAGCAGCCAAGAGCATCCTTCTACGAGTCCCTCTCCCTTCACACATCTTGCCTCTCACTTCATATCATCCCCCAGTCTCTCAGATCAACAACATTCCTTCACCACAGACTGCACGTCAGGGACCGTCTCTAATTTCCCAGCCAGTCCCAAGATCTTATGATTGAACACTTTTCCATAGAAGGCCCTAGACCCGAGCCTGATAGCCCCTGTGTTTCTACAGACTTGCATGGCCAGACTCCTCAGAGTCCTTCAGAAATCAGTTGAGCCAGGAGATGGTGCTGCATGCCTTAAACCCCAGCACTTGGGAGGGAAAGGCAGGCAGATCTCTGTGAGTTTGAGGCCAGTCTGGTCTATGTGCACACAACACACACACACACACACACACACACACACACACACACACACCATAGAATAGTATATATTGCACTATGCTGTTGATGACACACACACCCTCAACCTTGACTGCACTCTTTGGCTATTTTGTTTGTTTGTTTCATTTTTCAAGACAGGGTTTTTCTGTGTCACAGCCCTGGCTATCCTGGAACTCACTTTGTAAGACCAGGCTGGCCTGGAACTCAGAGATCCACCTGCCTCTGCCTCCAAGTGCTGGGATTGAAGTCATGTGCCACCATTACCTGGCTTCAGTCTTTGGCTCTTGAAAATACCTATCATTGACACTTCTACAAACCCTCTTGAAAAAGGATGGGATGAAAAAGAAATGTGAGAAGATGCAGATAAATGGTAGGCAGAGGAGGAAGGGAAACAGGAGGAAATGGAAAAGCTGGGATGACCGGAGTCTTTCCTCTCCAGCCTCACCCCTAACCTCAGGAACACACAGCAGAGGTGACAGCTCACCTGGGCGAGCGCTTGCTATGCAAGAAGGGGACTAGAGTGTTGCGGTAACGCCCGCAGTTACCGACCCGTTCACCATGTCCTAGTGAGGGGCTGCAGATTAAAGAATAAGAGACAAAAGACAGCGAGTCATTCGCCAAGGCTGAATGCCCAATGCCCTTTATTGAAAGAGGGAGGGAACCTTAAATACAGGCTTACAGTACAATAGAGGATCCCCGGAGGGCAGAAGTTCACTACCCAATGTTCTACATTCTTGCATCTGAGCTGTTTACACCAAATGCAGGATACACAAACAAAGAACCTCCAGTGAGCATTCAGGAAGAAGGAAACCGGCAGGGAATCTACATAGGGAGGACATCTGGTCAAGGTCATAAGCAAGGTGGCAGACACTCACAGTGGAGGGCCAGGGCCCACACTTGAGTTTGAATCTCCAGCACCCACATAAAAATGGGGGTGCCAGGGGTTTACTGGCTACCCAGGCTAGCTGATTGGTCAGCTCCAGGTTCTGTGAGACCCTGTAGCTAGAGTTTTCCTGCCTTGCCCACAGTCAGGACAAATCTCTGTCACCCTCCAGTCCCACAGCCGCTCAGACCCAACCAAGTAAACACAGAGACT